TCTGTTTTAAATGTACATCCCTTATTCTAATATTACGGAGCCTTGACTCTCCCACAAGGGAAAATAACTTTTCCATATTGACCCTGTCAAGTCCCTTAGGAATCTTGAGTTTGGATAAGGTCACCTCTCATTCTTCTGAATTCCAATGAGTACAGGCCCAACTTACTCAAGCTCCCCTTGTAGAACAGTACCTCCATTCTTGGTGTCAGCACAGTGAACCTTCTCTGGACTACCTCCAATGCCAGGTATATCTTTTTTTAAATAAGGGGGCTCAAAATGTCAGTATTACAGCTGTGATCTGACTAGTGCTTTGTATTGTTTTGGCAAAACCTCTCTATTTCAATGCTCCATTCTCTTTGAAATAAAGGCCAACGTTCCATTTGCTTTCCCTATTACCCACTAAACTTTAATTCTAGGTTTTTGAGATTCATGGATGAAGATTCCCTCCAATTCATCCCTGCTGCTACACACATCCTCTAGTTAGGTGGCAACTGGACAGGCCATAATCGCTTCTCTCCTCCTTGACTGTGGTACTGCTTTATCATGTAACATGACACAGCCCTTTTCTCCCCCGATCTAGAATCTCAATCATTATTGACTTATCCAAGCTTCTTTGCTACTCTATACGACTACTGAATCAAACCTTTAAGGGTTCAACTTGTATTGGAGCACTAAAATGCCCCTGGTGAAAAAGCGAAGGCCCTGACATCATGATGGTTTTTGTTTAATCCCTGAAAGATTTTCAAATAAGGTTGGGCCACTCACAGGCTCATGAGAATTGCTTTCGAATTCTGCTATGTTATCAAACATGGAGACTACTAATAACTCGCTGAATGGTTCTCCAAAAGTAGACACGGGCATCATAGGTGCAGGTTTGATTGTATGTCACGTTTTTTCATGGAACCAGGCAGGTGTGGCAGATTCTGCAAAGACCTATCTACTACCAGGTGGAGCTGTGGCCAATAAAAGTGCTGGTTGATGCAACCATGGATTTTACACATGCCCAGCATTAAGAACTTCATGAGCTAGCTGCAGTAGTTCCCTTTGGTACTTCGGCAGCATCACCACCCGGTTCATCAATGTCCGGTGTCGTTTGCTGGGCTGTGAGGGATTCTCCATTAGAACCTCATTTTTAATACAACAGAATTCTGTGAGTGCTTCAGTGTGAGCTGTCTCAGTCAGTACTTTTAACAGTGGGCCAGTTTGTTGGGCCACCAAGGAAGTTCTATTTATTATTATTTCTTGGGGTATTGGGACTCCAAAAACAAATTCAGAGAGGAAGACCAAGAGACTCTTGTTTGCAGCAGCACCACCTCAGCCTTCACTGACTAAGCTAATCCGGCCATAAATCAGGTCATCACAGAGTCAGGGAAAATGCCAGGCACTTTCTCCTGAAGCTGTTTGATCTTCCTGACTTCAACAGGCTTTTGAGACCCTGGGGATGCTATTTGCCTTTGATCCTAACAGGTCATTGCCAAGAAGCAGGTTGAGCCTGTCCACAGGCAAACTAGGTATCACTCCTATGGTCACTGATTATGACATAATGTCATACTCCAGAAGTACCCAGTAAAAGGGGATGTGCATGCACCCTCCTTCAATCCCTTTTACCTTGGCACTTACTGTGCTGTCTGGTGGGGAGCTCCTTGTCCCCGCAGCAGGGTTTGGCTCACCCTGGATTCCTGCAATATGAATGTAGGCTTACTTGCTTCAGCCTGGGAAAATATGGCCACCCTTTCTTCAGATACAAAATTCTGGTAATTTGTTTATACTCATCTGCTTTCTCAGGAGTGCATTTACTAGAATCCACAACTGCAGTCAGAGCCAAAGCCTGGTCTGCTATGTTCTCTGACTGAATACCAGTCTCTGCACAGTGACCCAATAAATCTCACTGGTTTTTCCCATTGACACCAGCAGTTAACACACACAGGTTTCGTGGCCTCACCTTTCGTCTCAGCAACACCCTTTCCATCCGGAGGAGGTCTCCCAGCACTTCCCTCTCTTCCACGGGTTTCCTGTGACTCTCCCCAAATCTATCCTTTCCAGTTGACTGCGGGTGACTAGGGGAGAGGTTCTCTGGAATAGGCATTTGTGGATCAGATCAATATAATCAGCCAACATGGCTGTTTCCCTTGACACAATCACTTTCTGTTCCTCAAATTGTAATTTTACTGGGACAGAGACGAAGTTTTTAAACTCCTTCAGGTGGCTTCTGCCTTAAGTGCCTGTACCCATTGGTCAAAAGCGAGCCACTTAAGCCTTTCCAGTTACTTTTGGTCTAGTCTGATAATATCCCAAGGATTTGGAACTTTTGATGGTACATCTCCAGCATTAACCAATAGACATTTAAGGTAGCCTTTTATTAAACTGCCTTGTAATCAATGGTACTTTCCACAGGCAACAGTAAACTCTGTGTACTTTCCTGACAGTTTACTCTGCAAATACAAAGATCAATGTTAGACTGGTGACTTAAACTGCTGCGCCAACGACTTCAAGATAATTTCTACTTCTGTTCCTCAACTTAGGAATTAAATGAGCCAACCTTAAGTCTGAACCAGTAGTACCTCCATAGGAGGCACAGTCAGGTCCTGGTCCTCGGCTGTGACTGTCTTAGTTCAAACTCCTGCAGTATTTCTTGACACCCCACATTTTCTCTCTTAGCTCCTTCATCTGCCTCTTTCTCACGAAAATCTAATTTCTGCTGCCCCAATCTTGCCACTCTATCCATATCATTGTCATCAATTTCCACCTGTAAACCATTAATCACTCCTTTAAAATTTTAGGCTTTCTGGCTTTTAGGCAAAATTCTAATCCCAAATACATTTCTAAATCTTTTAATTGTTTGATGGACATAACATTTAAATCTTCAGAAGTAACTTCTCCTAATTCTACTGGAAAGGTGCCAACATCGAATGTGGACATTTCTACACTGAAGCAATACAAACTCAGTGCAATTGTCCCTTAAAATTAGTTTCAAACATAATTCACCCACTCCAATTCTTTAGTTTTGTCTTTGGATTCAAATCACAGTAACAGCCTCCAATTTGTTACAGCCAGACCCCTGGCAAGGTTCCCCAATTTTTTCCAGATGTGATACCCCAAACTGCTAAACTACCATCTGAGGATGGATGAACTGGCTCCCCTTCTTTATTCACCTACCCCCTCAGACAGTTGCCACAACATTTATTTGAAAAGAATCCTTTCCCTTTCTCCTAAACCAAATGCTTTAAAAGCCAATTTAAGCAGGTTTTCTTGAGTTACCAAAGAATAAATTATTAAATACGAGAAGGATTAGCAATGCAACATTCACACAGATTAGAAATCAAAAGGTTAATCTAAAAAAGGGTAGAAGTTAAAAAGGGAAATGTACATATCAGTCCCTGAACTGTTCGCAAAGAGTGGATGACTGAACATTGTGGCTGAGGCAATGGCGGCCACTGGTAGCTTTGACAGTGGTAGCTGAACAGTCAAAATTGAGATTTCTTTTTGACCAGTTGAGGTTCTAATGCCAGATTTGATTTTCTTTAAATTAGTTTGCTAAACTGGGAATAAGAGAGGGTCTTCCATTTTCTGGCTGCTAGCTAGCTGACTTCTATTATTCAGAGTGACAGAGGTTCTTTATTTGCAACATAGAACTATTCCCTAGTGAGCCCTTTGACAATAACCTTCACAGAAGACTAACACTTGAACCCAGGCTAGTTCAACTAGCCCACTCCAGCAGAGGTGAAGCTGATTTTTTAAATATACGGTCCCTGTGTATTTTTCAAAGTGAAAAATGCAAACCGTCTGCAGTTGGGATACAATGTGCAAGGGTTTGGCTTGCTGCTGAGTACGAGGTTGTCGGTCCTTCATAATCTTTGTAGTCACAAGAGATCATAGCCAGTCTGTATGAAGTTTCTTTGACATTTTAGGTGTTAATTACATTAATCTCTCTCTGGATAGCCAATTAATTTACATCCACAACTACTTTTGGATGTATTAGGCCTCTTAAAAATTACATTTTGGAATTAATGGTTAAGAATGTCCATAGTACTTCCTGTTCTGACCCATGGTGATGACACTTTACCAGATTTTTAAGCTAACATATTATTCTAAAGTGCTGTTAGTACAGGCTCCTGAATTAACTTATACTCACGGACAATTTATGTGACAAAATAGTGCTGTGTAAAATGTAGCATTTCAACTTAAGCTTTTCAGATTAATTGTTTCACAAAGTTCGAATTCTGCTGTTAATTTGAAAACCATACGTTCCACTTATTCCAAAACAAAATTCTGCTCAGTCACTATGAGATTAAGACACACTCCACTGACATGTATGAAAGCTGATAAGAAGGATGATCCTTCAGTTGTAACAACACACCTTTCAGATACAGATATCTGACATTAAACCAGAAAGATATGATAAGTTCACATTTAGGTATGCATAAGAGTAAACAGACACAAAAGGGAAATACAGTCAAAGGCATACTAATGCACACCATGTTAACATAGGGAGTCTGTATTTTGTGTGATGAACTGGTAGTTTGAATAATCACAAACTAGTGGAAGATATATTTCGGTCACCTGCTCCCTACATATCACCGTTACATTTTCTCCCACTGTTTCCAAACCCCCAAATTATCTTTCACATCAACAAAATCTGACACATAAATGTCAATGATGAGAACATCTTAAGAATGAGGTTTTAGCAAATCTCAAAAATCTCACCAAGAGAAACCCCTGGGTGAACAGAGTCTGACTGTGAGGTTAACTCCAGGTATATAAAGAATGGCCAAGAGTAACCTCCTGGGTGAATACAGTCTGTCTGAGAGTAACCCCCAGCATTAACACAGTTCGACCATGAGCTAACATCAAGGTATAAAAACTTCATACAGTATGAAGTATGTACGCTGTCTGAATTTAGATATTTCCTTCATAAATAAAGCTGAAGGATGAAAAACAACAGTTCACACCCAATCATAAGTAATGAGCCTAGCTGTGTGCCCTTTTGTTTTGATACTTACTGTAGCCCATGCCCTGCAGAAAATACTTGAATGCCTCTGTCAGTTTTCCAGGCTGTAGGAACAAAACACACAAACTAAAAACTAATATAAGACTGAAGACATTGAACGTAAGATTATAAATAAAGTAGAATCCCAATTGCATCAAGACATCTTAAAAAAGTGTTTCACACATTTGGAATAGGGAGTGCTGTTACAAAAAAATACAACCAACGTTCTATAGCAGCATAACTCAGCAATGAATTGTATCACCAATCTGTCTGCTTCTTACGGACGAACAAAGAATGTTAGCCAGGAATTTGGGAGAAATCCCTGATATTTTACAAATTGTGCTATTTGTCGGAATTTGCTACCCGTCTGAACCACTGGAATAAAGATTCAGACAGACCTAGATTTAATTGTGCAAGATGGCAAATTCAAACTGTTCTGAGTTATGGCCAAACATTTTCTCCTATCTTCTCCTATACCATTCTCTGTAATTCCAGTGGAAATTTGGTTTTCTCATGGAATTCTTAATTCTTGGAGCTTGGACCCATAGTCTTCAGGCCTCAGCCAAAAAGCTTCCACTGAATTCAAGCTGGAAAGTTGAATAAAGAGAGCCAAATCTATTTGAGAATCCAGACAGTTTGTCTATTACTCACTTGTGTGATCTGAGGCAGACCACCAGAATCAGCCATCTGAAAAATAAAATAGTGAGTCATCACAACAAAAGGGAGAAGTTACAGCACGTTTCTGCAAAATTTCTTTAATAGCCGAATAATAACTGATTTGTTGCCCACAGCTCACACAAACCTCCCGATATGGACTTTACCTTGTAGGCAAAAACTCTACGATTTAATGTTCTAGGAATTCTTTCAACATATTCCACGAATTTAATTTGAGTAACCGAGACTCAGAACAATTATACATCAGTTCTATCACATAACAAGGTTGCCTATCTATTCATCTTATTTATTTGTCTTTGTTGGATAAGTATCCCACTGGATGGATCTCTCATGCATATGTTGGTCTTTAGCATGTGCCCCATGGCAATTTGGCTCCATTGCATCATTGGCCCATTTCAAGGCTGAAGGAGTGTCCCAAGGCAGCCTGGACTGGTTGTGAGAATAATAGGGTTAATGAATAATTGCAGTTTAGATCTGTTGGGAAATTGTCCAATGGTAAGTTTTTGGGCAAAGGCCCAAAACTGAGCATTGTCAACTGTCTAACTTGTGACTATGAATTTATTAAATGAATATCTCATGTTCGGTGTGAGTATGTAACATCATTATTTAGCTACATTTAATGAATGATGCCTATAATTGCCTAGATCTGTTGAAGCAATGAAGGCTCATCATTGTGTAGCTCTTGGGGTGAACAAAGCGTGTATTTCCTGGATAACAAAGTGTGGCACTGGAGGAACAGGCCAGGCAGCATCAGAGGAACAGGAAAGCTAATGTTTTGGGTCGGGACCCTTCTTCAGAAATGGGGAGGGGGAGGGGAGCTCAGAAATAAATACAGGAGGAGGGGTGGGGCTGGGGAAGGTAGGTGGGATGGTGATAGATGAGTGCAGGTAGGGAGTGGTCAGGATGGTCAGTGAGGTGGGAGGGGCTGATAGGTTGGAGAGAAGATGGACAGGTTGTGTCAGGTCAAGGCGGTGTGGATGAGAGGGAGGGTTGGTCACGGGATGAGACCGGGTGTGGGGAGATTTTGAAACTGGTAAAATCCACACTCAGGCCATCAGGCTGTAGGCTCCTGAGGCAGAATAGGAGGTGCTGTTCCTCCAGTTTGCAGGTGGCATCATTGTGGCACTGGAGGCGGCCCAGGATCGACATGTCATCCAGGGAGTGGTGGTGGGGGGAGGTGGGAGTTAAAATGTTTCGCAACCAGAAGGTGTTGTTTATTGCGTACAGATGTTCTACAAAACAGTCTCCACTTGGTCTCACCGATGTAGAGGAGGCCACATCAGGTGCAGCAGATGCAGTATACCAAGTTGACGGATGTGCAGGTGAACGGATGTTTGATGTCAAAGATTTGTTTTATTGCCTTGAATGGAGGTGAGGGGGTATATATTTCCTGGATCTGTTGGATAAATAATACTCATGATTGTGAGATTCGGTCGAATTAATGAGACCTTTGATTGCTTACTCCTGTTTGATGAATGAGACCCATGAATACCTCGGTTCAGTTGACAGAGTGCTGGAACTATTCCTTACCCTCAAGGGAGGCATTTCTCTCTCAGCCTAAATCAACTGGGTCAGAAAGACTAAAACCTAATAATAAAAAAAAGTGTTGTCCCAATAATCATCAAGGTGAAAGTTACTTGAGTAAGAAGTACTTATTCAAGAAAATATACAATTACTAAATGGACTGTTCACATTGTTTGACAAAGAGATGCTTCATCTAAGTACAAAAGAAACAAACAGCATTATCGCTGTAGAATCAAACTAAGGACTATGGAAACTGAGTTGCTGAAGCCCACACATAACAGTCAGCGCGTGGTAAAAGCAAAGTGAAAATTCCCAGTGCACATGTGAAGCCTGAAGTCTCACCATCTCAACTAGCCCCAAACAGTCTTCTCAAATCTGTTTCATGTTGGTTCCAGGGATGAGGAATTATGGCTGCAAAACTTGATTAAAGAAACTGGATTTTTCTTGGAGCAAAGGAAATTGAGAGGAGATCTGTTAGAGCCAGGGTTTACATAAAGCAAACATAGGAATGCGGTTTCCAGTGACTGAAATTACCAGGACTAAAGGGCACAGATGTAAGATTTTGGGCAAAAGATGCAGGGGATGTGAAGTCAAACTTTTTTTTTTACACTGAGCAGTAATGACCTAAGCTGCCTATCAATGAAGGTGGTTGAAACAGAGATGATCAATAATCTCAAAAGGAAATGAAGAGGAAGTTATTGCAGGCCAAGGGATATAGAGTGGGAGAATATGAACTACATAAACTGAATGCATTGTTCTACAGAGAGAACTGAATGGCATCATTCTGTGCCAAAATGACTCTAGAGTCTGACTGGATCTGACATGCTGAGCTGTATTAGCCATTCTTCATCAAGCTATTCAACTAAGGAGGGTTTCAAAGATAAGTCCAAATCCATTGTCACCTGTGCATCATTTCCAGTCACTCCCAACAGATACTGATGAGTTGGCAATGATCCTCTCTAACCCTAAAACACTAAAATGTTATTTGTTGTACTTCTCCCATCATCCCATCTAAGATCAGGTGACTCAGCATAGATAGGATATAGAATCCAGATACCTTTGTTCTATTGGGTTAGCAAATTGGGAGCTGCTACTACTGACTGACCTGCTCAAAGATCTGAGCCTGTGTTCTTTACGTAACACTTTCTAGCTTGACAAAATAATTCTGGAGTTTCGTATGGTGTGTAACCATGGCTACTTGTGAAAATGAACTTAATAAATATGGTAATTTATGGATTATGACCAGTAAAAGACCATAAAAGCTTCTAGATAGCCAAAAAATCACTTTCATTCATTAACGTCGAACAGAAAAGGCCACAAATCACCTCTTCCTGGCCTTGTCCAAATGCTTGGCTTCTAGTGCCAACAAATACATCAAAGAACAGTCAATAAATGCTGTTTTATCAATGTCTCCACATTCATCCCATAAATCAATATGAATTCCAAGAAATAAGAATGTCACTAAGTGAGATTAGATCCAGGCCACCCAACTGTCCTGTACCTTTACATCAGCAAGTACTCATACCTATGCTCCAGCTGGACCCCCTCTGCTCCACCTGTACTTTTTCTTTTACTCCCTTCTTCTCAAACATCTAATTTTAAACTTACCCGTACGGGACTAAAGGAGGCGAGACCCTAGACCGGAGGAAATTGCAGGGAGGAGGCGAGACCCGGACCGGAGGCCATCGCAGGGGAGGCAAGTCCCAGAGATGAGTCCTGGACTGGAGGCCTCAGCAGGGGGATGAGGCCCTTGCAGATTAGAGGCAAGGCTTCAAGTTTTGAAGCCCAGCATGGTAGGCACACTTGGCCTGGTGCAGTCTGGAGGCTAGTACTGGCACAGACCTGGGTGAAAGGGACTGTAATTCAAGTACTTGTTTTTCCAATTTATTCTTATGCTGGACTTACTTTTCTTTCAATTTTGTACAAAATACTTAAGTATCTGTACCTAAGAATCTTGTATCTAAGATGGTGCATAAGCAGTAACATTGCAAACTTTTCACTGCACTCATTCGAATGCACGTGACAATAAAGCAAATTCTAAATTCTAAATTCTAAAAAATTTAAGCTAATAATCTGGGTTAGTTTAACTGGAACGAAATTGCTCACTTTTTTTCCTTTATTTTAATTAAATTGCTCTGGTATATTATGTCACACCTGTGGGGTGGCTAGAACATTCACATGCATTTAACTACCATCTGTTTTAAGATTACAGCTAGTCCAGACATTCAATACCTTGAGGAAAGTTGTCTGAGTTGGGTCCAGCTTGGAGTTACATTCCACCTGGGATTGAAAGGGCAGCATTAGTACAAAACCATGATGAATGATAAAATATGTAACATGTTATAAGCACTAATTCTATTTCCCAAAGTAGCGACAAGAACATTCTTGGTCAATATGTGCTCCAATATTGTACATATGTTCATGAAAATTTCGTCTGCTCAGTATTTGAGTTTCAAAATGATATGATGATATATTTGTAACTTTGTCAGAAACGCTTACTGGAGGAACTTCTACTGTACATGTACCAAGCCCCTCATCGTACACGTACCATGTCACTACTCACATCAACCAGGGCACTCCTTCCTTCACTGTCAACTGCCTTTCAGTTATTCACTGGGTTGTGGGTCAACTAAATACATTGCAAATAGCATGCAGTTGTTGCAAGTATTGGACTAATATGACACTTTCCTTTTCTAAATTTTGGCATGCCTTTGTTGATAAAATGATCATTATTTCATCTCAAGGTGAGTAATACCATGAGAGATCTTTAGATATTGATCCATCTTGGACTAAGGGTAATTAGAATATTAGACAGGAGCTTCAATCCCATTTGGCAATACTTGTAGGAAAACTAAGGTCATCTACTAGTGCTATAATTCATTGAAAATCAAACAGAGTAAGACATATATCAAACCTAGCAAAACAACATCATGCATAACCCAACATGTATGAAGAGCTGGGAAAAAGGTACATCAGTTGCACTGCTCAAATGTGTACTAGGGAGACAAACAGGGATAGAATCAAAACAACTCTCCTTCCGAGATCTGCAGCCACGCATACACTGTAAGGATTTATGCGCACCAAACTGACTTCTGGTTTCAGAAGCCAATGCCACATACAGGTCTCAGAGATCTGCACACTGAAAACAAAATAAGAGGGAGTATTGAAACCATGGCAGAAAAATGAGGACTATTCCTTTGTTGTGCGGTGTTCCTGAGTGTTACTAGATCCTTACAAACAGCAATACTTTCTCTTGCTTCAAGGAGATGAATGTATAGAAAATACCCTGGCCAGCCACTGGATGTGATGCAGATTTACTGCCCGTACTCACCACACCTTCCTCTGCTGGGGAATTGTCCCCCACAACCAGCATCACTGGACACCTAAAATGAAATAAAGACAATCAGCCTGTATTCTTGTGCCTGCAAGTTCACAAAAAGTATGGCATCATTCAACACCTCATCTCTGAGGTCATTTCTCGTTATAAGGTTAAGTGGAACATTTCAATGGAATTGCCGTAACGAAGTGAGGGCTCCCACTCAGACTTAGCCCACTTTCTATGCTGCAAATTGTGAACAGAGTGAGAGTGTGAGCTGGCCCAGACATACAGAACAAAAAAAATGAAAAAAAGAGGGTCACCTCCACTGTTACAGAGTTGGGTATGTAAGGTTCAGAAAACACTCACATCCAGGCTTTTGGTGTAGAATAGTTCCACCATGTGAAAAATAAAACTAAATAAAAGTAAGAGACTCACTCCCTAAAAGATTTTATGCAGTCCGTACAGAATTCGTTGATAGGATTCACTACCCCCAGTCCATAACCGAAGAACTCTAGAGATTAGCTGATCATATATATGTTTTGAGAGTTTACCAACTCTGATCACCCTTGTAAGGAGAGCTCCACATTTCCTCAAAAGGTATTCAATTGCTTTCTTAAAACTGAGTTTTGCACCATCACTCTGCGTAGTGTTGTACCAACTATCACCCTCATTACAGCTGACTGAATCTTCAATTTCGAGCTATTTTGTTTCATACATTCATGATTGAAAATAGGTAAGGAACCTTGTGAGGGAAATCTATAAGTCAAGCCATAAAAGAGATGTGCTGAAGGAGTTTGTAGCTGGAGGAATAATTTGCACGGATGCAGAGATTGGGATTTTCTTCGAGGTGAAGTAGTGACAACAGTTTTGAATGGAAAAGAACACTACCTTAGGAGTGGAAACAGTTTATAATGGCAGCCAGCAGAGGAAGGTTGGGTGATCAGCAGGCAATGGGCGGTGGGTGGGGAACTTATTGGACCAGGAGGTGGATCCGTTGCACAAGACAAGCTCAGTGAAGAAATCAGGGAAGGAGAAATTCTGAAAGAAAATGCAGATCCACAGCAAATGCAAGGATAAAGGAGAAAGCAATACAGGAAATGAATGTTTTCAATTTCAGTAATAAGCATATCCATAAACTGAAACTGAAATTTAATTGAAATCACAGAGAATAAGATATTCTGTAGAGTGGTCGGAAGGGGCTGTTGTGGATTTTGAGAGAAAGTCGAAGGGGTTGGAACAAGGTGGTGGTGAAAGAAAGACACCGGAGGAGTAGCAAAAAGACCAAGGTGTGACTTGGTGACAAATGCAATGTCACTGGCTGTGTGAGAAACTACAGCCAAACATGGAGGCTTCTTTAAGGGGAACAATTCAGTGAGGTCAAGGAGACGATGAGCTATATTTACAAAATCAATATTCCAGAGAAATATGTGGAGAGGGCACTGATTGTTATTCCAATGGCAGGGACCAAAAGGAACAGTGGTAGATGGAGTGAATGGGGAGAGGAAAGCAAATAGTAAGCTTAGCCACCAGTGAGTGCCAAATATCAGAAAAAATTGGTAAGCAAGGAGGGCAGGACAGTTCAGTGCTGCTGGTCAGTAGGCAGTAATGGTGCCCTGATGGTGAAATGTAGAAAGAGACAGGAGGTAGCTGAGGTTATCTAAGGAAGTTTCAAGCCAACAACAGCACTAGTTGTGGTGCCGCAATGTATCCAAAAAGGGAAAAACAGAAAAGGTAATGTGACAAGAATAAAAGGGGTAAAAGCAGGGACTTGGAAGTAATGGGAACTGCTAGAATTCTTTGAGGAGGTAACAAGCAGGTTAGACAAAGGAGAGCCAATAGATGTTATCTACTTGGACTTCCAGACCGCTTTTGACAAGACACCGCAGGAGGCTGCCGAGTAAGGTAAGAGCCCGTGGTGTGAGAGACAAGGTACGAGCATCAATAGAAGATTGGCTGTCTGGCAGAAAGTGGGGATATAAGGGTCCTTCTCAGGAATGGCAGCCAGTGACTACTGGTGTTCCACAAGGGTCAGTATTGGGACCACAACTTTCACTTTATACATTAATGATCTAGACAATGGAACTGAGGGCTTTTTGGCTAAGTTTGCAGATGATACAAAGATCGGTGGAGGGACAGGTAATATTGAGGAGGTGGTGAGGCTGCAGAAGGATTTAGACAGGTTAGGAGAGTGGGCAAAGAAGTGGCAGATAGAATACAACATGGGAAAGTGCGAGCTCATGCACTTTGGGAGGAAGAATAGAGACATAGACTATTTTTTAAATGGGGAGAAAATTCAGAAATCTGAAATGCAAAGGGACTTGGGAGCCCTAGTCCAGGATTCTCTTAAGGTACACTTGCAGGTTGAGTCGGTAGTTAGGGAGGCAAATACAATGTTGGCATTTATTTTGACAGGACTGGAATATGAAAGCAGGGATGTACTTTTGAGGCTTTATAACTCTCTGGTCAGACCACATTTGAAGTATTGTAAGCACTTTTGGGCCCAAATCTCAGGAAGGATATACTGGCCCTGGAGCAGGTCCAGAGGAGGTTCATGAGAATGATCCCAGGAATGAAAGGCTTGTGAGGAAAGTTTGAGGACTCTGGGTCTATACTCGATGGAGTTTAGAAGGACAAGCAATGATTCAACTGAAACTTACAGAATACTGAATGGCCCAGACAGAGCTGGATGTGGAGAAGGTGTTTCCATTAGCAGGAGAGACTAGGACCTTAGGGAACAGCCTTAGAGTAAAGGGAAGAGAAGGAGAAACTTCTTTAGGTGGACAGTGGTGAATCTATGGAATTCGTTGCCACAGAAGGCCGTGGAGGCCAGGTCATTGAGAATATTTAAGACAGAGATAGATAGGTTCTTGATTGTCAAGGGGATCAAAGGTTACGGGGAGAAAGTGGGAAAATGGGGTTGAGAAACTTATCAGACCGGGTTGAATGGCAGAGCAGACTCGATGGGCCAATTGGCCTAATTTCTGCTCCTGTGTCTTATGGTCTTAGGTTTGCAAAAAATGTGCACATGCTCAGCGCCAAGACATTTCAGTTCACCTAGGCAAGGGCATTAGCCAAACAGGGGGGAGAAAATATGAAAGTCTAAAATTAAAGAAATATTTCCCTTCAGAGAAAGTGGTATCAGCAACAGTAACACTCCCCCACCACATCTCAGTGACTGGACTACTCACCTCATCCGGAGGCCAAGATAGGAATAACCATCCTCACACTGAGGCCAGTGACTAGAATTCTCATGCTCACACTGGGGCCTGTGACAGGAATACTCATGTCACACTGGTGCCAGTGACCAGCCATCCTCACACAGGGGCCAGCCTCAGGGTTATTCCCACTCACACTTGGTTCAGTGACAGACTTCTCATCTTCACACGGGGGCTAGTGTCAAGGATATTCCCACTCACATTTGGGCCAGTGATGGGAATAATCCTCACAGCAGGGTAAGTGTCATGAGTTCGGTGACAACAATTTTTCCCTTTCAATCAGAAGAGTTAGTGACAAGGTTATTTCCCCTCACAGTGGGGTCGTTGATAGGGATATTCATACCAGAGCTGAAATAAATCAAGATTGAAGGATAAGGAATGATTCAGTGTTTTATAAATTCAGACAACAGATGGAATGGCTGCAGACAGACTAGAGTTGAAAAGGATGATAAACTGAGGGATGAGTGCAATACTTACTGCAGAGTCTTAGCATTGGCCACAGTTCCAGGTCTGTTCATTTCCAGATCCCTGCGACTATCAAGAAGAAACATTTATTAGTTTTAAGCACGAGTCAAGTGCGATTCCATTTTCATTTCATGAAACAAGTGAACATGAATGCCCTTGAACCACAGAGTGTTATCAGGGCTCAGACTACTGGAGAGGGGACTGGATTCACCTTTCCTGAGCTTCCTCCCTCTGGGGACACAGGATCTGGACGATAATTTGCCCCCTACATATAATCTCAACTAAGAGATAGTGAAACTCAACCATATCAGGAACTACTAAACTCAAACTTTTGAAGTGTAAGTCTCAACCCAAGTAGTCAACTGCTGCATTTGTTTGTATATCATACAAAGTTTTTCAACATTAGACCAACATGAAACAGGGAACTGTAGTGAACCGGTCCAGTCAAAGGCCTGGCACAATGGGCTGAACGGCCTCTGCCTACATTGTCACTTCAGAAAATTCACATTTGCAAAAAGAATGCAAATTGTAAACATGGTTTTTAGATTAAATATAATGGCTCTAAATGCCCGTGAGCTAATAGCTTTTCTAAAGTGAGATCAAAGCTACTGAATTTTTACTATCACTTCCACAGAGGTGAAATCTGTGCTTAAGATAAAATGGTGTCAGCTCTCATTGCTCAGCCCTAACTTTACATCAATATTGCCTAAATGAACTCTGTCTGTTGAAATGGTGTCTGTATCAAGTAATACCCATGACAATGTTGTCCTTACTGAGGTCTATCTGTGGCAGTATTACTTGTACTGAGGAGTATGACACTGTTACATTGTGGAAAGCTTATGACAGTATTAATTGTATGGAGGAGTTGCTGTGACAGGATTCCCTGCACTGAGGAGTGCCTCTGATCGTGTTACCTGTTGTACATGTTCCAGAAGAGCTGCAGATTACTCTGGTTGACGTTAGCTCCTATCTGCTGTCGGAGGCTCTGCACCAGCTCCGTATTGTTCATCAGTTCCTCCTGAGACAGGAGGTAGAAACACTGTTACACACCACTTTGCTGACTACTGTCTCCACCTCCTGCTTTTTCCAGAAAAAAGATCTCGTTCCCTGTACTCTCAAAGACATCAATCCCATGCTGGGTATGACTGCGTGGGCACAGGCCATCCTGTGACACCTCACACAAGTGGGCATCCCTAAAGTACAGGACCTGTCAGCAACTAGACTCAGGTGTCCTAACCATAAATTTCCTCCCTCAACCCCCTTCCTATAGCTTGTTGTCGTCCTTATTTAGCCCCTACAGCTCTTATCAGCCAATTCGATAAAACAGGCACTTCAATTTCTACAGCAGTTTATTAAGCCGCAAGTGCTTCACAACCATGAGTTACTCTGAAGTGTAGAGTTTGTTTCTTAATAAGTTAATGTAGCAGCCATTTAGCAGACAGTATGACTCTACACACAGCAAATGTCTTTCATCTGTTTTTAGTGATGCTGGGCAGGAAGGCGGCATATATCAGGTATCACACCTGTAAAAACAGATTGCTGATTGTTTGCGGAGTTATCATCTAAGGCTTCAAATGGGCATTTTCAGAATTGCTATCTGTTAAACCAGCCTGCTTAAAACCTGGACTAGATGAACTCAAACATACATAGCCAAAGCCAGCTATATACACTACCTTACATATTCTGTTAGCAGAAGAATAGGAAAATCTTGTTAGAGCTTTGTAGAGTTGTAGTGAGCAGTTGAGATGGTGGCAATGGGTAGAGGAACAGGGGCGAGTGTAGTAGTAAAAATATTTGCCCACATCAGGAATCTTTTAATCCACTTAAATAATATTTTGCCTAAAGCATTTAAGTCTTGAATTCTGAATAAACACCTGAAAGAACTGCAGAAGCTCTAAATCAGAAACAAAAACTCAAATTGCTAGAAAGGCTCAGCAGATCTGGCAGCATTTGTGGTGAGAAATCAGAGTTAACGTTTTGGGTTAAGTGGCCCTACTTCAGAACCCCAGACCTGCTGAGCTTTTCCAGCAACTTCTGTTTTAGTGTAAGCCTTGAATTTTGTTCAGTTAAAGACTGAACATCCAAATTGACAGGTATTATATGTTTGATCAGCACTGCAGCAACAGAGTCAGAACATTGTGGGTTCAGGTCCCACTCCACAGAACCGAGCAACTCATCTAGGGAGATAATCTAATGCAGTATCAATGGCCTCATTTTAATGTGTCACCCAAATGTTGGCACTTCTGACAGCACATGCAGATGTGACATTAAATGGAAGGGTGTCTGCCCTCGCTGGTGGTATGGAAGAGTAAATTGCACAATTTCAATAAGGGGAGGGATGTTATCCCAGTGTCTTGGCCAATATGTATCCTTTAACAAAAATCATTAAAACAGTACATTTGTTTGTTTATGTTATTCCTGCTTTTGCTCAAACATCAAAGCAATTCATTGACTGTGGAGCACTTTCACAAATACTATAAATTCTGAAATTCTGTAAAAGGTATATTAAATGCAAGTTTATATCTTGTTTGCTTGTTTCCTATCAATGCAATGCACATTATTTTGAACAAAAATGATTTGGAAACAACTATTTATTTCAGATGATACAGCAAATAAGCCAATATCTTGGAATTATTTCAATCATCTCAAATCCTAAACCAAATCAGACAAGTACCTTGAAAAATATAAAGGGAGCAGAAAATAACTTAAACAAGGAATTAGGAGGGCTAAAAGGGGCCATGAAATGTCCTTGGTAAGTAAGATTAAAGGAGAATCCCAAGGCGTTTTATACATATATTAGGATTAAGAGGTTAGATAAGGGCAAGGATAAATCCACTCAAGGACCAATGAGGGAATTTATGCATGGAGCCGGAGGAAGTTGGTGAGGTCCTTAATGAGTACTTCATATTGGCATTCACCAAAGTGAAGGACATGAATGATTGCAAGCTGAGAGAGAGGTATGCTGATGCTCGAAGGCATGTTGACATTAAGGAAGTGGTGCTGTGTGTCTTGAAAAACATTAAGGTAGTTAAGACCTCAGGGCCTGATGGGATCTATCCCAGGATACTGAAGGATGCGAGGGAGGTGATTGCTGGGGCCTTGACAGAGATCTTTGAATTCTCTTCAGCTACAGGCAAGGTCCCACAAGACTAGAGAACAGCCAAAGTTGTTCCTTTGTTTAAGGAGAACAACAGGGATAATCTAAGGAATTACGGACCGGTGAACCTTACATCAATGGTAGGGAAACTATTGGGAGTCAATACTTAGAGACAGAACTTACTTGCATTTGGAAAGGAATGGACGTATTAGGGATAGTCTGCATGGTGCTGTGTGGGAGAGGTCTTGTCCCACAAATGTGATTGAGATTTTTGAGGAAGTGACAAAGATAATTGATGAGGATAGGGCACTGGATGTTGTTTAAATGCATTTTACTAAAGCTTTTGACAACGTCCCTCATGGTAGGCTGCTCCATAAAATTAAGTCACATGGGATCCACGCTAAGTTGATAAGTTTGATACAAAATTGATTTGGTCATAGAAGACAGAGGATAGTTGTTTTTCTGAATGGAGGTCAGTGACTAGTGGTGTTCTGCAAGGATCAGTGCTGGGACCTCAGTTGTTTGTAATGTGTATAAATGATTTGGATGAAAATGTAGGCAGTTTAATTATTAAATTATTATTAATTATTTGTAAATGACACAAAAATTAGTGGAGTTGTGGATATGAGTAAAGTTGTCAAAGAATAAAGAAGGATTTGGATCAGTTGGAAAGTTGGGCAGAGAAATGGCAGATGGGAGTTTAATCCAGCCAAGGGAGAGATGTTGCATTTTGGCAAATCAAATGCAAGAGGAAAATATACAGTAAAGAAACCTTAGGTGTACTGACATACACAGAGATCTTGGAGTGCAAGTTCATAGCTCCCTGAAAGTGGCAACATAAATGGATACTCTGGTAAAGAAGGTGTACAGCATGTTTGCCTTCATTGGTTGGGGCATTGAATATAAAAGTTGGCAAGTCATGTTGCAGCTGCATAAAACTATAATTAGGCTACATTTGGAGTATTGTATGCAGTTCTGGTTGTCATACTATAGGAAGGATGTGGAGGCTTTGGAGAGGGTGCAAGAGAGGTTTGCCAGGCTATTGTCTGGATTAGAGTATATCGGCTACAAGGAAATGTTAGAAAAACCTGGATTGTTTTCGCTAGAGTGTTAGAGGCTGAAAAGGCAACCTGATAGGAAGATATAAACTTATGAGAGGTGGGGTAGGTGAAAAGTTTGAGTCTTTTTCCCAGGTTGGAAATGTCAAATACGAAGTGGCACAGCTTTAAAGGTAGGAGGGAGAAAATTTAAAGGAGATGTGCAAGGCGAAGTATTGTTGAGGTTGGTTGGCTCGCCGAGCTGGTTTGTTGTTCCGCAGACGTTTCGTTACTGTGCCTGGTAACACACTGACGCTTCATTTGAGGCTGCACTGAGGATGTTACAAAGCACGGTAACGAAACGTCTGCGGAACAACAAACCAGCTCGGCAAGCCAACCAACCTCAACACCCACAACCCGAGCTACAAATCTACTCCAAAACCTTAAAGGCAAAGTATTTTACACAGTGCCTGGAACGCGCTGCCAGGGGAGGTGGTGGAAGCAGATACAATAGCAACACTTAGAGGCATTTAGGCAGACACATGAACAGGCAGGGAATAGAGCAATACGGACCATGTGCAGGCAGATGGGATTAGTTTACAATGACATCATGATTAGTGCAGACATGGTGAGCCAAAGGGCCTGTTCCTGAATTGTACTGTTCTTTAAAATATATTATATCCCAATTCTCACAATGTTTATTAAATGTAACGTCATAATTACTACACCGTATTCTGGCTATCTCACTGTACCCTAACTCTTATAAAAAATACTTATTCTGCATCTAAATTATTACATTGTATCCTAACCTTTCCCATCTATTAATAATATGCCTTCTATCTTTGATACAAGTTTAGTTTGCAGTTCAACTTTATCTTAAATTCCAACTCAGTTTCATGTGCTCTGAGACGCGTTAAATACAAATGCACCAAATATTGGTTTCAAGTGCTGTTATCCCAACTCTCCTGAAGCCACTGCTTCAAACCGGTCTTTTGAACCAATTGCAAATCCACTCCTCTTCAAAATAATAGCACAGTTAAAAGCTGCATCCGGAGAGCTAATCTTTGAAATTCATGTTTCTGCACCAACTCCTCTGTCAGCGCTCTCGATAAAGAACTTTCATTGCTACATTCTTTGACGTTCTAACTAACAGGAAGGTTTATCCCTGCCTGCTAACTCAGAACCCCCGCACTTCCATAAAAGCTCTGATCCCATTGCTCTCGATATGTGGAACTGTTAATTTACATTGCCCTCACTTCACAATCTCCTACTCAAATTTCAGTTTTCCCATTTCCTTGAAAATTGACTTATGCTCAATGTATTCCCAGAAAAAAAAACACAGTATTATCCTTCTCCACTTTTACCTACTGTCCTAATGTTCTTGGCATCTAAACATTGTGGAAAATGTTAACTTTCTAATTATCAATTAGAGAAACCAAATGTTAATCCAAGATTTCCAATGCGATCTTTGATACAGCTGTTCCATGTGTGAATTCTGCTTAAGCACTTTAGCAATGAACCATTATTGTTTTGCCAGCTCCAAAGCCTCTGACAGAACATGATCCTGTGTTATTTTAAACAATTTATTTTTATTTTTTCAGGGGATGAGGGCATCGTTAGCTTGGCCAGCATTTATTGCCCATCCCTAATTTCTCAGAGGGCAGTCAGGAATCAACTAAATTGCTGAGAGTCTGGAGTCACTTGTAGGCCAGACCAGGTAAGGATGACAGTTCCTTCCCTAAAGGACATTAGTGAACCAGATGGGTTTTTAACAATAATCAGCAATGACAATCATCATTAGACTCTCAATTCCACATTTTTATTGAATTCAAATTCCACTCTCTGCCATTTGAACCTGGGCTACCAGAACATTACCTGGGTCTTGGTTTAATAGTCCAGCAATAATACCACGAGGCCAACACCCACCACCGTCCCCCCCAACCTCCCAGTTACATTGTACGGTCTCCTGCAAAACTATGTTCATTTAATCAGGACTACTGGTGACAGATTCAGTTCGTTCTAGCTTTTATCCCACTTTTCTACGTTCAAGCCAATGTTCTTTGGCTAGTAATTCATACATTGAAATCCTTTCAAATCACGCAACCTTAGTTCAATGCTTAAATCACGACATCTTGATACTTTGATGAAAATACTTCTTTTAACATCAATTTTCAATGCCTAAACATCCTTTGATCTTTAACACTGTGCCTTTGATGACTCCAACAGTATTATTTCTAAATGTGTTATTTTTAATTCCCTTGGACTTAAACTGAATCCTCTGATCTTGCTCATCTATAAAGCTGACTCCAAACTTAATGTCTACATTCATGCTTAACAGTTTATTCCTCAACATTTTAACCCATTGTGAAGTCTAATTCTATCCAAGAACTGAATCTACTTTCCATATCTGGGGAAAAAAACCAAAGAACTGCAGATGCTGGAAATCAGAAATAAAATCAGAAATTGCTGTAAAGACTCAGCAAGTCTGGCAGCACCTGTAGAGGGAAAGCAGAGTTAACGTTTTGGGTCCAATGACCCTTTTTCAGAACGTAACTGTAGCTAGACAAAAATTTGTATATATGCTGGAAATGGGGTGGGAGAAGGAGGAGTAAACGATAGGTGGAGATGGAGCCCAGAGAGAGAGAGAACAACAGTGTGGCAGACAAAGGAATGGGTAAGGATCAGCCTGGGAGAATCAATAACTGCTAATGGGGACCATCAGTAGCTGACAATGGATTGGTTTTGGTAGTAGCCCATGTGATGACAGGGCCTAGTATGTGAGGGTTGGGGTGAGATGCTCAAGCCTTAAAATTATTGAACTCAATACTGAGTCCTGAAGGCTGCAGGGTCCTCAAAAAGAAACTAAGATGCTGTTCTTCCAGCTTGCACTGAGCTTTGCTGGAGCACTGCAGCGAACTTGAGACAGAGACATTGATCACGGAACTTTTGCCTAGCTACAATCATTTCTGAAGAGTCACTGGACTCAATGTTACTCTGCTTTCTCTCCACAGATGCTGCTCGACCTGCTGAATTTTACCAGCAATTTCTGTTTTAGTTCCATACCTGGAGGATCTTGTTCGATCTCTCTCATCCCCTAAAGATATAGCTAGCTTGTCAAGGGTAGACGGTACCTCAGGGAATTATTGATGATAGTCCCTCAGAATTTTGAGTCTTCTTGTTTGGTAAGGAACTCCTGGTATTTCTGCCATCCAAACATTCTCTACTTTTTCAATCTATCTTGTCTTCATTTTTCATGCTTTTCTTCTCCAGTCAATGCTTCAATCTTCTCTCCTGTTCTTTCCAACTTCCAAATATGCAATATGATACAGTCTGGTCACCCCACAACTTCACTGGGTTAAAACCAAGTCTGATCAGATGGTAACTGTGCCCAAGATTTCTTAACCTTTGAATTTCCCTTGTTTTCTCAGTATCCTTTCCTTACAATGTACAGAATTTTAAAATATGAGCTTGGAATCAGCCTAACCTGACTCTGATATACCTAATTTTTAATTTTTTTTCAACTTTGGACTGCAGGCCTTTTAGTTCAGTTTCTCAACTTAAAACAAAGCGAAGCCATTAGGGACATGTTAGGAGTCAGACAGATGACATACAAAATGAAACAGGTTGCAGATTTAGTTAGATGCCAAAACATTGATATTAATCTTACACTGAATCAGAGATAGTAGGAACTGCAGATGCTGGAGAATCCGAGACAACAAGGTGCAGGGCTGGATGAACACAGCAGGCCAAGCAGCATCAGAGGAGCAGAAAGGCTGACGTTTCAGGCCTAGACCCGAAACGTCAGCCTTTCTGCCTCTATTAATCTTACATGTCTGGTGGACAAGTGAGCCACTAAAAATGAGTACAATAATTAACTTGGCATTTGACCCTTTCTCACCAGTGGCAATCTTAGCCTGCAGGGTTCTACTGGCACATGTGACACTCACTTAAAGTGGGCAGAGGCCTCATACATTTATGCAGATCATGGTCCCCTCACTGTATTGTTACTCGGGCTTCAGCAGAGAAGCCTGACAATGTTGAAGAAGGCCTTCTAAGTCAAGTGGACAACCTTGATCCATACCTGAAATACTAGGTACACCCTATGATTTATCAATCTGTCTGAGAGCTTGCCTTTGAGGGCCTGCCTTCCTGACTTTCCCTCCCATTTCTGGCAGTTTAGGTTATACACCTGACCTGCAAGTTATAGATGAACTCGGGTGAAATTATTGATTCTAAGTTCTGGGCCAGCCAACTGCATTTCCAAACGCTCTTCAGCTTCCCACTCCTACATTAAAATTTGCCTGCTAGTTTACGCTTTTCAGAACAAATTACGCAACATTTAAGGATAGTAGGAACTGCCGATGCTGGAGAATCTAAGATAACAAGGTGTAGAGCTG